ATATCCGATTAACGAACATGCGAATGTTTTTTCATTAATTATTAACTATACGTATATACGACAAAATCTCGTTTAATTGTTAATTATGCGGTTCGTTTGGATATGCAATTTTATATCGCATATAATTTCGTGAGTTGTGGGGTGGAAATACACCGCTCTTGCATGATACTCTCTATGCACCCAGGTGCGAAGTTGTTTACTTTCAGTTGTTTCCGTGTTATAACTTGGTTTTTCCTGTAACTTCATTACTAGTGGCTTAGACAATTTATATCATGACAATTTTTTGGACTTGGTATTTTAAAGAATAATTTATTTGTTATTGACTTGGATGAATGTTATAATGACTTATCACATATTTTTGGTTCATTTTATAATGTTGATTTTGAATCTTTTGAGACGGGGGCCATTGCCGTTGTGTAGCGGACAATGCTCACAGAAACGAGCTGTCTCTTCAGGAACCGACTGGAGGCGACAAAGTAGTAGTCCTTAGGGGACTGAACAGCAGTGACGAGGACGGACATGCACTGGCCGACGTGGAGGTCAAGGGAGTCATACAAGTTCTACACTGTGTAACAACCCTCCATCTCGACTAACTTCAAGGTGTGGCCTTGGAGGCGGAAGTTGACCGAGGCTTTCTGCCTAACATTGCATACGCTGAAGCGGTAGGTCTTGCCTCGATAAAAGATGACGAGAGGCTCTACGGTGGTGGCATCGCCGACTTTGGCAGATTTGCCATTGATGTGAATGTCATTGGGGAGGTCGATGTTGTTACCTCCGTCGAGGATGCGCTTTAGAGCCTTGTGACAACGGTTATACCAGTCGCCAAGTAGGACGACAAACTCATCAGTCGACCAGTGGAAGGGGACATGAATGAGGTCCCAACCGTGGACCTGAAGGATGCCCATACCGCCAGCTGCACGGTGGAGTGTGGTGGTTGGGTAATGAAGTATCTGTCGGTCTGGTCCTTCACATGAAATTTATAGGTCTAGTTGGTTCGGGCATAATAGGGCACACGATGCACAGGGTTTCAACTCTCCACAAGTTCTTTAAAAGAGAAGCCATTGATACAGTTGATGAACTAGGCAAGGAAACAAGATATTTAAAAGAGAAGTTGAGCCAGATGCTAACACAAGTCTTTGTTGATAAGTGCGTGTTGAGAAAATAGGTGAACTTGTTGATCGTTTAGCCTCTAAATGTGAACCAATCAAATGACGTAGGTGTAAGAGAATCTGGATGTAGATGTAAAGAGTTAGGTTTAGCACATGTTGTAAGTTCAATTAGGGAATGTATTATTTGCATAGCACGGTATACCATCACCATCACATATGAAATACTTCACAAAGTGAACAATATATGGGAGTTTTATTGTATTCCCACTGCACATCCCATGCATATATCACGATTCATGAACATGATTCATCTGGAAATTTGTGAGAAAGTCAAATACGATTCAAGAATTTAAAGATAATTGGTCATCTACTTTGAGATTATTTAGAAAATCTCTATCATGACTCACGAGGGAAAAAAAAAAAGAAAAGCTTGCAAAAAAGGTCAGGAGTACATGAGACGAGATAGTGCTATTAAACTGAACTAGTTTGGCTCGACTCGGCTCGGCTTATTAAGGCTTGAGCTAGGCTCGGCTCGAAAGGCTTAAAAAGAGAATTTTTATATTTTTTCTATAGTTTGGCTCGTTAAAGCTCGAGCTCGGCTCGTTAAGGATCAAGCTCGAGGCGTTACCGAGCCGAGCTCGAGCTCGATTTCTGACTCATTTATTTAACGAGTTGAGCCTAAGGGCTAAAGCTTGAGGTCGAGCTCGAACCCTCTATGCTCGACCTCGGCTCAGCTCGTTTATTGGCCTAGATGAGATGAGATGATCAGATTCATCAACATCGACTTGTTTAATTGGGTCAAATATCCAGCCCATATTTATTTGGGCCAACTATCTAGCCCATATTTTGGTGATTCTCACGCACTTAACTAAATGGGTCCTAACAAGGATTAATTCATACGACTTCGAAACCTCATTATAAATTCCAAACGGGAACACTATCAGTCACTTTTGTTGGATTAGGGTTCTTCACTGCCGTAACCGTCGACTGCTTCCTCTCTGCAGACCATTATCATTCCTTTCGATTTCTCAACTCAGCAATCATGGGGTGCGTGCATACGTTATCATTATTTTTTTCTTCTTTTAGGTCTTTTGTATCTTCTGTGTTCGTGCTTCTGAGTCGCGCGCTGAACTTTCTACATTCCTTTTTAATTTGGTTATTTTCATTGGCTAGTTTCCATTAAACCAATTTTTTCTTGATTTTGTTTGCTGGGTAGCTCAAATGGGTGGAATGAATTTGGTTAGTGTGGGTATTTGGGGTATTATTTTTATCTGTGTTATGTACTTGCGTTGCACGAGAAGCTTGATAAAGGTGTGACCTTTACCGTTTCTTGCCTTTAATTTACTCTAATTGTCTGTTTCTCTGTATTCGTTATTTGAATTATCTTTTCTGAACTACTGCCTATGTAATAGATTACGGTCAATTGTTACCTAACTCCATGAGCTCTTGAAACATGCAACATATTCTATTCAGAAATTATTAGTTCAGCCATTTCTTTCCCTGTAATGTATTTACTGCATTTACGAATAATCCATGGCTAGTTTGAGTTACGCCTTATTAAGTGGTTGATTATGTTTACACTACAATTTAATAGGAAGACACGTGGTATGGGAGCTGGGCGCAAGCTCAAGTCCCACCGCATTAGGCAAAGGTGGGCCGATAAAGCTTACAAAAAATCTCACCTTGGCAATGAGTGGAAGAAGCCATTTGCTGGTTCGTCTCACGCCAAAGGAATCGTGCTCGAGAAAATGTGGGATTCCCTTTTTTGTTCTTCGGTCTCGTATATATCCTTCCCTCAAGTGTTCTTTTTTGCTGTTTAATAATCGTGATGTGTAATATGTGCAGAGGCATTGAGGCTAAGCAGCCCAACTCTGCCATTCGTAAATGTGCTCGTGTGCAGCTGATCAAGAATGGAAAGAAGATTGCCGCTTTTGTTCCTAATGACGGTTGTTTGAACTATATCGAGGAAAACGTGAGTTCTTGTTATTACCTTGCAATGCGTTGTAAAACTTTTCAAGTGTCTTTTTATGTTGATGAAATTAATCAATTATAATGTTTAACTTATAGGATGAGGTGCTGATTGCTGGATTTGGAAGAAAAGGGCATGCTGTTGGAGATATTCCCGGTGTTCGGTTTAAGGTGGTGAAGGTTTCTGGGGTTTCACTTTTGGCCCTTTTCAAGGAGAAGAAGGAGAAGCCCAGGTCTTAAGTTTCGGTTTTTTATTTTCTTAGTGAATTTGGGTGCTTTTTAGATTTTTGTGAGATGGTACAATGCCTTTTGAGTTTATTTTGTTTTAATTTTTCATTGGCTTAATGTATAAGATTTGTACTTGACCTTCACATTATTGTTCGCCATCCGACTTTTAGTTCATCACAAGTGCCATCGGAAAACTTTAAGTTTATCATGGTTTAGCCACATTGTGGGTAAGTTACGATTATGGTGCATTGGGCGAACATCGAGTGGCGGTTTATATTATATGTTGAGTGGAAGTTTGGTCTTTAACCAATATATGCTTTGTGAAGAAATCGATTGATGTGTTGTTTTGTGTCTGTTTTTTGCTCGACTAAATTCATAGATTACTTGTTGAATGAAATCAAATTGATATCATTGAAGAAGAATAGTGCTGCTTGATATTACCAAATGGAAGTGAATGATTCTTGTATTAGGTTTTTTAAAATTCATATTGAATGGAAGTAACTAGTAAGTATTTAACAGATGTCACAAGGAATTACAACGATCAATTATAAAATTCATTTTTTTTGAAGTTATTTATACAACCAAATAACCTTACAAATTGAAGAATCTTACAAGTTCTTAAATAAAATCGATTGATTGATGGGGGAATTTGCAACAACAAAAGTTAAATTTTGATGGGCAAAGTTTTACTGAATTTAAAAGTGTCAAAACTAGAGATGATAAAATCGAACCACGACCACGACTAGTTTATGTAAAGTTTAAATATAAAAAAGAGGTTTTCCGTTGGGGTCTGTAATCGTTAGATCAACTATCCACGATGATTATATTATGATTTAACGGTTACAAATTTCGACAATATAGTTCTGTAACGGTACTGTAGTATTTCTCAAAAAAGAGGGCTAGAGCGTAAAACCAATCGTTTGAGTAATTATCTAGTTAGCTAGCTCGTTGCATTAATATAAACAAAATATTCTAATATCTATGTTGTTTTCTATCATAGCAAGAAATAATGTTATTAGTTATATAATAAAATTAGTTATTTTATTGTAAAATTTGTTGGTCAATTAAATTTGGTTATTATTTTTTAACAACTTCAATAGAACTCATTTTAATTTTTGTTTTTTATTTGAGGAGCAACATTTTCTATATAAATCAGTGTCAGTTTTATAAAATTTTAAATTTTGTTATTCACACCGGAAGTTAAATAAATTATGTTTACATATTCAACTCAGATGTTTATTTTTATATTTAAATATATTATATTATAGGAAAATGTTATGGTCTCGTTACGGAACAATCCAATCGGATGTTTTTACCGTTACATCATCTATCCTAGTATTATATAGTAACTACATGTGTATTCAACGGTTAAAACTCCCGACGGGATGGTTCCGTAACGGGACCATAACATTTTCCTTAGAATGTTTGATATATAATATTTTAGTAGTTTTTCAATCCAATATTTAAAATTACAGGTAAACAAATTTTGTGAGTTAATTAATAAAAATTGTTCAAAATTCATTTTCTCTTTTAGCTCGAAAATGCGGCAAAAATCTGTGAGAGCCCAAAAAAAAAAATATATCCATATAACACTTTCCCGCCAAAAAAAAAATTCACAATTCTCAATCGCCGGAGCTTTCGAAGCTTCGACACCGAAGCCGTCCGCGCTGCCGTCAGCCGACATGTATGTGAACACAGATGAAAACAGGAGTGGAAAAACGAGATTCCGATCGGCGGCGACTGGCGATTTGCCGCGCATCTTGGCCGTCTATTTCCCCCAAATCAGCCCCGACGATGCCGAGTTCAGATTTCAGCTCACCTCAGACCTCTTTCAGTTCTTCTCATCTCCGCTGGCCCGACAATTTGTCGATCAGGTGTGGAACATCGATAGTTATCAAGGGCCCGAAATTTATTTATATCGTGTGTGTGTGCGCGCGCGACGATGCCGTAATTTTGTTTATTATCTGAATAGGTGAAAGAGGAAGACGGGTTGTTCTTCCTGCCGCTCGATTTTCAGCAGTTTCGTAAGGTATGTGACATTCAAGAATTTTATGCGGCCTTAGAGGAAAGGCCCAAAGATGCTCTGCTGTGTATGAGTGCCGCCGTGCACAAGGTACTCTTGTAGTCATATTTTTAGGACATTGAACTGGTGGCCATTTATCGTTCTTGCTAAATGACAGTGTGTGGACTCGAAAAACCTCTGTAGGTACATTTTACGAAAGAGAATATGGCAGAGGATTATGTAAGGATGAATATCCGTCTGCACAACTACCAGGAGTCGTTGATTGCGTTGAAGAACCTCAAGGCTGCTTATATTGGTACTCTTTTACTATTTTTTTTTTTCTCTATTTGAATGTTTTGTTTCTGTATGAGGTTTTATCTGGGGGACCCTTGATTTTTATCGGTGAGTAATAAGGTGTTATTGCATAATGGACGATGTCACAGGCAGACTCGTCTCCGTGAGGGGAACTGTAACAAAAGTTAGCACAGTCAAGCCTCTAGTGATGCAAATGAGCTTTTCATGTTTTAAATGTGGAACCACCATGACTTGTGACTTTCCTGATGGAAAATTTTCTTCACCAACAAGATGTGATATGCAAGCTTGTAAAAGCAGAAATTTTAATCCAATCAGATCTACTGCTCGGCCGATCGACTTCCAGAAAATTAGGTGGGGTTATGCACCTGCCCACACCATACTTATTGATATATGAATGTTACCATCTAAAATAACATTCTCAGGGTTCAGGAGCTGCTAAAATCTGAACATCATGAAGAAGGACGTGTTCCTCGGACAGTTGAATGTGAACTGACCGAAGATTTGGTGGATGCTTGCATTCCTGGAGATGTTGTGACTGTATCTGGCTTCATAAGAGTCATTAACAATTATATGGATATTGGTGGAGGTATGAGAAAGTGTTATGAAAGATCTTCCATCCAGTCACAATCTTACAAATTTGCTTTTGAGTAATTAGTGTCCTTTAGTCCTAAATTGGAATTAAGTCGCATTTTCTATACAAGAACGCAACATATAGTGCTCATTGCCTGATTAACGTTAATGTGAATGAATCCTACAATCTGGTGACACACTACTCCATTTAAGGCTAGGTAATTCTATCATATCATGAAGTATCAGCTTATCTTGTACACATGTTAAATATTGTTGTATTTACTATTTACTAGAAATAGAGAAGCTCCAAAGTACTTCCATTTACAGTCTGTCATATGTTCACTCGAGGTTATTGAATTCTTTTCCTTTCCTGCTTGTTTTCTTCTTCTTCTTCTTCCTTTGTTAATTTTAGGGAAATCAAAAAGCAAGAATCAAGCATTATACTATTTGTACCTAGAAGCTGTGTCGGTGACAAACACTAAATCCCAGACTGTGCCTGATGATATGAAACATACTGACACCAATCCTACAAAGGCAGAAAATTTAGACTTATACTCGTTTTCTCCAAGAGATTTAGAATTCATTGTAAAGTTTTCTGAAGAGTATGGTTCTGATGTATTCCGGCAAATTCTGCAATCAATTTGCCCATCCATCTATGGCCATGAGCTTGTTAAAGGTACAAGAAATTATATATTTTCTTTTCATCTTTTAATGTCAATATAGTAGGAGTTAACTACTGCGTCCAGGTTATTCTAAATGTCAATATTTTTTTTATTTACTTTTAATGTTAATTTTGTTAAAATTTAAAAGTTGTAAGAAACAATGTATTTAATGTAATAAATTTTAATCTTCTTCAATCACTGTTTTGCTCTACCAACTTTTGAATACGCACTTAAATATGCTGTGAAAGTATGCTTTGAAAATCTTCATTGCCGCTTATCATACATTTATATGTAGGTTGTTTTAAGAGCTTAAGTCATAGTTTTCTGGAAATGATATATGAGCTACTTGACTGGTTAACAGCGGGAATTACATTGTCACTGTTTGGTGGTGTTCGGAAGCATTCAATGGATCAGAACAAGGTACCTGTGCGGGGAGATATCCATATAATTGTTGTTGGTATGGATATTTTCTTCTTTTGCATTGATTTGGAACCTACTTCATTTGACCCTTTAAAGTTTGTGCAGTCACCACTCTAAAGTATTACTCAGAACTCTATAATGCGCAAATTTGATCAGCATGTTATTTTTGTGATTAGGTGATCCTGGACTGGGAAAAAGTCAACTACTTCAAGCTGCAGCTTCCGTTTCCCCACGTGGCATATATGTGTGTGGCAATGCCACAACTAATGCTGGCCTTACGGTTGCTGTGGTGAAAGATCATATGACTGGTGACTATGCATTTGAAGCCGGTATACTTTCATCTCCTCTCCCTTATTTGTGAAATTGATTCTGTATAAATGCTGTCGTGTCTAAATGGCTAAGCCATGTTATATGATGTGTATAATTTAACCGAACTCTTCTTGATGTGAGAACTGTCGGGTGATGGGGAAAGATAACCCTTTTTTGCTGTCTCCTAGTCATCTTAAAGTCTTTATTAGCAATGCGTGTCTTATTTGTGGACTATTAGCGAAATTTTATGAAGAACTTTTTCACATGTAACCAGAAGGAAGTTGTATTTAAAAGTTTGGATGTTCAATGTGCTACAATATTAAGGATTGTGAATTAAAACAATGTCAGTCACGGTGAGTTTAACATTACACAGATGATGGAGCATGAGAAAGTAGTAGCTTGTACAAGATGTCACTTTCTTTTATTTTTTTGTAATTTAACTGCTTCCAGGATGCAAAATCGTCATGATTGATTCTGTATCTTGCATTAATTCTAGAAAAATGTTTAACTTTCTAGTTTGGCATTCTTCTTGAGAATTCTCCGTAATTATATTTGTTTTGTAAGAATCATGTGCTTATGTCAACCTCAAGTTGACCGTTTACTATTTCATGAGTAGTACATCAAGTTTTGACAGGGCCGTCTCTTTCTCCTTATATTGAAAATCTTTTATATGGCCACATAATTTTGGTTAAAAGAAATATCTAAAAATAAGATATAACTTGTATTTTCTTTATGTGCATATTAAGTGTGCAGTGTGTAAATCTTTAGAAATTTACTGTCTCCTTTTTTTCTTTTTTATAGGTGCTATGGTCATTGCAGACCGTGGATTATGCTGCATTGATGAGTTTGACAAAATGTCAGCTGAACACCAGGTTTGTCAAGCTCTGACTTCTTCTGGGGCTTTATTATTGACCTCCAGAATAATAACAATAAAAAAATAGATAAAAAGAAAGAAAAAAGAAGCCCGTTCTTCAATTATTCCAGGCCCTATTAGAAGCGATGGAACAGCAGTGCGTCTCGGTTGCGAAGGCAGGACTTGTAGCCAGCTTATCAGCAAGAACATCTGTTTTAGCAGCAGCAAACCCTGTTGGGGGTCATTACAAGTACTCCACTTAATTGACATCCATTCTGATTTACTGCATGTATTTTGGGGGTGGGAACTGTAAGACATCCCCATGTCTATATCTGATTAACTGATTTGTTTTAGTGATGAAACCTGCTGCATCCCAATAGCATGTCTACCTTGCCATGAAAATTTTCGAAAGGCTCATCTTTTGTTTCTTGTTTCTTTCTTTCAATAGAATAGTGGATGAAATTATCCGTTCTTTTATTAATTTATTATGTTATAATGCAGCCCGATTATATTCTAATTTCAAGTTATACTTACAGCCGTGCAAAGACTGTGAATGAGAATTTGAAAATGAATGCCGCTCTTCTCTCTCGATTTGATTTGGTTTTCATTTTGCTTGATAAACCTGATGAGTTGCTGGACAAGAGACTTTCAGAGCATATAATGTCAGTAAGTAATCTGCCTGCCCTTTGTGAATATGAAATTGCTCCATGCGAAAATATAAAAACACAAACGTAGTACAAAAGCAAATGTGGATTTGAAGAATCAGTGTGTTAAAAGTGGATTTAAAGGGGATAACTAGTGGATCAACGAAAAACTCTGTTACTGTTACTAATCTCATGAATTGTGCTACTCCAATTAAACACTGTGCTAACATATGTGCTTCAGAGAATGAAATAGCGATCCCCACTCTTAATATGCTCAGAATTTGCTTTCATTTTCTTGTGCCCTCTATCCATGGAGAAATTTTTGCGGCATGCCCACTAATAAAACAAGAGCAAAAAATTCTTATTGAACTGGCTTCTGTTCCCTATAACTTAACATCGACTACTTTGAGGACTCCCTGATCTCCCATAATTCTAGTTATTCTCAATTACCCATGAGACGCACTAAGCAGTTTATCTACTAACTTTTTATGTCCGCTTTCCTTGTTTCAATTTTCTAGTTGTTTTAATTCATGTGCACGTTTGTGATTTCTCTGTCCAGATAGTTCGTAGTTCTTACCTTCATTAGCGGTATTCGAAAGAAAATTATGGAAATCTGATTGTTTCATTTTGCAGCTTCATGCTGGCAATGGACAACCATCACCTTCTGTAAAGAGATTATGTACAGGTGGTATCTTGACTTCTACTAATTGATTCACCATGGGGTGCCTTTAACACTATATTTTAATTTGTGACATGCAGAGTCACGTGGTACTAGAAATGTAGACATGAATGTGAATAACGGTTCACTAGTTGCACGGTTAAGGCTAAACCCTAAGAGAGATAGTGATTTTGTTCCTCTCCCTGGTCCTCTCCTGCGTAAATACATTGCTTATGCAAGAACTTACATATTCCCAAGGTGATGTGATCCCTCTGTTATCTAAAATCTGAAGTTTGTTGATTATATATTTAAATTAATTATTCAGACTGCTTATATAAATGTTTCCTATCATCCAGGATGACAAAGCCAGCTGCAGAAATCTTGCAGAAGTTTTACTTACGTCTTAGAGATCATAATACTTCTGCCGATGGTACTCCAATAACAGCTAGGCAGTTAGAAAGCTTGGTTAGGCTTGCAGAAGCTCGAGCCAGGGTGGACTTAAGGGAGGAAATAAGCACACAAGATGCTTTGGTAAGTTCTCATTTTTTTTT